TGTATCATTTTATATTTAGTCTGCCGAAGACTCAGGAAAACCAAGCAATTAGCTAATAGAAAATCAGCTGTGTTATCTTTGATGCTTCATCAAATGAAGCAAGAAAAAAAGGGAGATTTGTAGCTGGACATTTGTAAACAAGGATCTGAAGTCCTGCCAAGAAGAAGTGAATGTTCTATCAGGAGCACAGTGTGACTTGCAAGTGGGTCAAGATTGCACACAATCTTTTTTTTCTTTCTTTCTTTCTTTTTTTTATTATTAGTTAAGGTATTACAAATGTGTCCTCATCCCCCCCATTAACCCCCAACCTCCCCCACACACACACGAACTCATGCTCCCATCCCCCTGCTGTCCATGTCCATTGGTTTGGCTTATATACATGTATACAAGTCCTTCGGTTGATCTCTTCCCCCCATCCCCGCCCTCCCCTACTTTCCTTCTGGGGATTGACAGCCTGATCGCTGTTTCTCAGTCTTTGGGTCTGTCCCTTTTCATCAGTCTATGTTGTTCTCTATAATCCACAAATGAGTGAGATCATGTGGTACTTATCCCTCTCTGACTGGCTTATTTCACTTAGCATAATGCTCTCCAGTTCCATCCATGCTGTTGCAAAAGGCAAGAGTTCCTTTTTTTTTACTGCAGCATAGTATTCCATTGTGTATATGTACCACAGTTTTCTAATCCACTCATCTGCTGATGGGCACTTAGGCTGTTTCCAAATCTTAGCTATGGTGAATTGTGCTGCTATGAACATAGGGGTGCATATATCCTTTCTGATTGGCGTTTCTGGTCTCTTGGGATATATTCCTAGTAGTGGGATCACTGGGTCAAATGGGAGTTCCATTTTTAGTCTTCTGAGGTAGCTCCATACTGTTCTCCACAGTGGCTGCACCAGTCTGCATTCCCACCAGCAGTGCAGAAGGGTTCCTTTTTCTCCACATCCTCTCCAACACTTGTTGTTTTTTGATTTGTTGATGATAGCCATTCTGACAGGTGTGAGATGATAACGCATTGTTGTTTTGATTTGCATCTCTCGTATAATTAGTGACTTTGAGCAGGTTTTCATATGTCTTTCGGCCTTCTGTATGTCCTCTTTCGAAAAGTGTCTATCTAGGTCCGTTGCCCATTTTTTTTTCTTGAGTTCCAGGAACATTTACCTCCTTGAGAAAGGCTAAGATTAAATAGTCATGGGTGTAGAGCAGAAAGGAAGGGCACAGCTGCAAGTTGTCTTCAATACACTATTGTAATAATATAGAACAAAACAAGATTTAGTTGATTAACTGCTGACACACTAACCTTATACCAAACCCCAATAAAAACGATGGTGAGAGTGCAGAGTTTGCTACATGCTTGAGTGAGCTGTAGCCCTCTGTCCGGCATCAATCATCCTGTGTGTTCGTCTTACCTCTGCGTCTTCGGTTCATTAAACATCCCTCAACATGCAATAGTAAAGGGGATTGTTTTTTTTAATCTCTCTACTATAAGTTTACTATTTGTGTATAAAAATGCCATAGATTCCTTGACGTTATTTTTGTATCCTGCTACATTGTTGAATTCATTTATTAAGTCTAATATTTTTTGATGGAGTCTTTAGGATTTTCTATGTACAATCTAATGTTATCTGCGAGTATTGACTGTGGGAAACTGTTTATTGCCTTCACTATCTCATAAGCATAGACAGACACCCCCGCCCCCCCCCCCCCCAAGGCTGGGTACCTTTGAAGCCCTAGCAAAGGTCGGAGCTAGGCGCCACCTCTGTTTGTCCAGACAGTGGTAGCTGAAACTACTCTCCCATTTATTATTATGTAAATCCTTGCTGATGGGCTAGTCTGCCTGTTGCAGGGGGTCACCTGCCTAAGGGCTATGCTATGGGTGCATCCCAGAATCAATAAAAACTTGGTGAGGCCTGAGCACAGGTGGAGGTCCTTCCTCTTGAGTTGGACTTGCCCACCTGGTCCCCCAATATTTCCAAATTATCTCTTGTCTTTTCATTTTCATTTGTGTGCGGATCTGCTTCCAGTTCCTGAACCCTGACCCATGCGGGACGTGGGAAGGAAACACACAACATCTGGCGCACGACGGGAAAACTGGAAGTAAAGGTTTCACTAGAGCAAAAAAAGGAAGTTTCACCAAAAAAGGTGTGGAAAAATTCACCGAAAAAAAAGGTGGGGGAAATTCACCGCACGCAATGCCCAGGATCAATTTCAGAAGTCACGAGATGTAAGTAGGCTGGGAACGTTTTCTTTCACCAGGCTAATGGGGCAGGATTTGGCTTTAAAAACGTAGATTCGGCTTTTAAAAAAAGTAAGAAACTTTATTATAAACTTTTGATTTGCATGCTTAAGGAGTTAAAATTTTCTAAGGTAATCTCTTACAGTTTTTACATGTTATTATAGAACATAACCCTTGGTTTCTTGAAAAAGGTATATTAGATCTTAAAAGTTTGCCAAAAAGTTAATCAGAACTTGCCAAAAATTGTTTCTCCTTGTGGAAAACAGTATTTCATTTGCTAAAGCCTTTAGGAGAGGTCAAGGAGGATAGATCTCCTCCCCCTTGCACCCTCTGCTCCTTAAAAGGAGCAGAAAGAAAAAAAAAATGGGAGGAATGGCCTTCATGGCTCCCTCCACCTCCATGTCCTAATCCTGAAATGCTTAATTCTCCATGAATAGAATCACCTGTGCAAAAAGGTCAAATTATAAAGAAGTTGGAATATTAAAAGCCACTCTTTTAAATCAGGCTGGAAAAAAAAAAAAAGAATGCCATGGTCATTTTAATGTGGTTTCTTGTCCAAATTAAAATCTTAATTTGTATTTGGAATCTAAAATCTGTAATAAGAAATGAAACCCTGCTGCCGAATTCGCCTCTGGTGTGGAGAGATTCAAAGGTGGCAAGAGAGGGCAGAGCTATAAGCTCTCCCACAATGAGATTACTTAATGTTTTGTTTAAAAATTACCAGAGAACATGTTTGGGACACCTAAAATTGGCTAAGATAACCTTGGGTGCTAGCCATGACTTTAGAAAGCGACATAGGAAAAAATTTAAAATGTCTTTTTCTATTAAGCATGACTTTGGGAAAAATACTCCATCTGAGTCATTTTCTGAAACTTCCCCCAAAGCAGGATGTGGGGGAAGGGAAGAAGGAAACACGTGGCCATCCAATATGGACGCCCTCTCCCCAAGTATTCTAAAATTAAAGTCCTTCTTGTAATTGAAAAGCTTTTACAAATTCATAAATGCATCCGGGATTTCTGTGCACACGTAAAGGGAAAAGGCCAGTTTAAAAATGAGTGCACATAGTTTTGAGCTGAACTTGACCTTTTGCTGTGTACAGAATAAAAACCCGAGACTGTTTTGGCCTTAAAAATGGCGAAGATACATCTGAGAAAGAAATGCAGGCTGGTTTCCCAAGGCAATTTAAAGTAGCTCTTTTGAAATTTCCCGCCCTGAGGCAAGTACTACCAGGAAGTTGATAGTAAAGTTTACATGTGAATAGCTATGGGTTTGCTTCTTGACTTCCCAAGCAGGAAAATTGTGACCATTTTGAAATTTAGCAGCTATGCCAGGCTTATTGGCTGGAAACTTAAAACTTTTAAGTTCAAATCATCTAAAAGTATTGAGATTTACAATACTGAAATGTTGATCTGAGTATGCCTAGTATGAAGTCTAGATGATAGAAGTTAATCTATTAATTGAAAATGCCTTCTATTTTATTTGAAATGTATCCTTAAATGTAAAAGTATTGATTTGAAAAATGCTAAGTATTTAATTTGCTACTAAGATTTAAAGCTCTGAAAGTTTAAGGTCTCTTTTCTTGCCATTAAAAAGTTTAAAGCTACACCCTTTTTTAATGGAGGGAGGGGTAGACACACCCTTCCCCTAGCATGCAGGTAATCCAATTCCTGCCAGCAGCCATCTTTAGGAATGTTAATTTACATTTCAATGGTTACACCTTTTGCTAGCCGACCTTCCCAGAAAAGGTCAAGCGGCCAAAAGGTGGCTTCTTTGAAATCAGCTTTCCTCCAGTAGTCAAGTTTGCTTCTCAGTTTCCCGGGCAGAAAAAACATGGTTTAAAGTTAATTATTAGATTTTAAAATTTATTCTTAAAAATATAAAAGTGTAGTTAATCAAAGAACTGCTAATATTTGACTTACAAACTCTGAAAGTTTAAAGTGCAAATTGAATCGGGAGAAATTAATTAAATATCTAATGTATAACTTGTTTTTGAAAAAAATAAAATGTGTTTTCCCTGAAATAATTAGGAATTCAAAATATGTTGCGTATTGGTCTGATTAAAAAGAGGATTAATTTTGTGATCTCAACTGAAATTTTTAATACAAAAACCAGTTTAAATTTAATTGATATTAAGATAATTATGAAAGGTATAAACAGCTAATGGGATTTCTGTTTGTCTGCAATATAATGTTTGAAAGGATGAGGGCTATGCCCTCCATCTTGTCCCATACCCTCCATGTTGGGGCAGCCGCCATGTGCTCAGGAGAGTACCTTCTTCCCTGAAGCCCAGGCCCCTGCTGGCCACACCCGGGATTTCTTTAAACTAACCAATGACAGTCAAGGGACATGCGCGCCATAGAGATGACCACATCCTGTGTAAGAAGACCCGGCTTGCGCCTGGCCAATCGGCAGGGCCCACAGTCAGCTCCCCTCCTCTTACTCCACCCCCTATTAAAACCCTGTTTTTCCCACGGTGGCTTCACTCTGCTTCCTTTTTCTGCATCGGCCAGGAGGGGGAGTCGAGCTAGCTCAAATTAAGGACCCTCTGCTTTTGCATCAGACTGGCTGGCTCCCTGGTGTGGTTTTTTTGGGGATCTTGAAATCTGGGCATAACAATGTTGGCAATCTATCTTTTAGAGATTTGGGTTTGCTCTTCCCTTGTTTATTGTGAGAATAAGGAAATCATCATTTCTGTCAGAGAACAGTTTAGGCAGCCACCACTTTGAGCTGCATGACTTGGCAGCCGCTATGTTGGCCACATGGCTTACCACGCCCCTAGGGGCCGCCATCTTGGAACAACAAAGGCCCCTCCCTCTGACTTAGCCAATCACAAAAGGAATGTCTGCTTACTGAGGCAGGATGGGATTTCAGGGGTGGAGCTTTAAGGTGGAGTTTTACTACGGAAATGCAGATGGGGCAGAAAGTGTGCTTGCCTCTCAGATTTATTTAACACTATTTTTAAGAAGATATTTTTTAATGCTTAATAAATTAGCAATCACGGTCTTAATATAATTTCAGTGGTATGATAGACCAATGTTTTAAGCAGTTGGCTTTATAAGGGCCAACAATAGAGCTCGTATGTCTTAAAAGGCTTGTAGATACATTTTTAAAAGATACTTTAAATTCTCAGTAGAACCACAGTTATACATATATCATAAACAAATTAAGAGTAATTGATTCCATGGACAAGACTAGATCCTATTATGTTGAGAACTGTTTTTAAGTGTTGAAAATGTTTTAATTAGATATGTATTTGGAATTTTTTCCCAAGTACAATATTTTAAAATATAATATGCTTGACTGCATGAGGAATTTCTGCCAAATAAAAGAAAAAATTGATTTATTAGTAGCAATGTCTTTATTTAAACTAACAAAAGCACCATGCCACTGCATTTTAAATTAGACTGGAGGTGGGGCAGCGTTTACACCTCGTGTATCAGACATAAAACTTTAAAAAATTTACTAATCTTTGTATGCAATTGAATCCTAGTAAAGTAAAATTCTTCTAAAAAGTTACTGAAGGCTTCCCATGATCCCTCTGTATATGCAAATAAGCTGAAAGGGAATGCTGTTTAAAAATATTATTTTAATAAAAAAAAGAAATTTCAATATTTTGAAATATCTTCCACTAATATTTACAGGATAATCTAATGATTTGCTGTTAAAATACCAAATCTGAAAATAAGTACAGTCACCATAAATGTTTAATGACTTTGACTTGAAATACATGGCCTTGCAGCACTATCAGTCAGCATCCAAGAAGTAACCCTATAGGTTACTTGGTGTAAAAAAGAAAGATTCTTCTTTTTTCAGTTGAAGTTCTCCAAGTGTAATCCAGCAGAAGGAAGACAAACCAGACAACCAACAGCCCAGAGACCACCTGGGGCACGGTAAAGTGAAGTATGGTAATAATTAATTCAGGTAAAAATTATAAGTTTCATATGTCTTAGAAGGCACATTTTTCCTTTACCTGGAAAGGACAGCACAGCTATCCCAAGGTCAGAGGGCTCCAGTTAGCGTGTCTACTCAGTGTTCTGGAGACCCAAAATTGTAATTTAGATAACATGCCTAAGTTTAACCTAGGTTACCCAAGGACTCTAGATAATGTGTTTACCCAAAACTGTAATTTGGATAGCATGCTGTCTCTGCTTCTGTAAATTGCTTTTTTTCCCTAACTAGGTTCCTTTTTCCAAACCTTGAGACAGCCAGTTTAAAATTAAGTTGTCATGACCTAGAGCAAAGAATATTCTTACATGGTATTATTCTACAAGTTTCACTAATAATTTTTGATGCTTTACAACAGTATATTGTGCATTTATCCCAAACAAACTTACAAATTAATTCTTTGACATGAAAGGATTTATTCCCTCCAGGGAAAGCACTTAAGCATTCTGTATTGACCTCTCTCTCTCTCTCTCTTTTTTTTTTTTTTTTTTTTTTTTTTTTTTTCCAAGAGGATTCCAATTGTCTACAGCTGTGATCTGAGCTCTCCGTTCAAGCTGGGATCATGAAAAGCTGGAACCATGGATCTGTCTCTTGCCCAATGGCATAAGCTGGGCCCTCTCGGGAGAAGAAATCTGGATTCCCTATGATCAATGCCTGGGCCCCGCCAGTAGGCGAGGGGATCCAAAGGCAGTTGCTGGGCATGGAGGCCAGAGGGACATAGGTTAACAAGGAGACATAACTGAACCTCTCATCACCCTACTTGGCCCAGAGATGGCTGGTAGTCAATGACAGGTAAGACCCCCCCCCCAGGGTGGGGCAACCTAAGACAGGCACAGCCGGGGGGCCAGTAGGAGAGAACTTGGGGTTCAACAGAGGTGGGGCACAGATCCTCACCCCCCAATTGTGCAGGGGCTTGAACACTCACCCCTTTTGAGGAAGGTCTCCTGTCCCCATGGCTGCTTCTTGATTCCCATGATCAGGAACCAAATAACAGAAGAGACTTGGTCCAGCTGAAAATGGTACCCAGAAAAACGAAGGCTTAGTTTAACAGACTCTAAATTTAAATCTAGCCTAACAACAGAATGGTTGGGCCTCCTCAAGGACGGAAAGTGATCCTTTAAATTAATATTTACAGTGTAAATTAAGATTATTGTTAGAATATTAAATTTGACAGTAAAATAGTTGTCAAGTTTTCAAATTAATTAAATTTGGCTTATTTGAAATAAGTTATTATTCAAAAAGTATTAACCAAAATTTTCATTTCGTGGTAAAATTGCTTAACATGCTATGAACCTAAAGCAGTCATTTTTGTGCAAAAAATTAAAATTTAAAATTATCTAGACTGCAATATAAATTTTCCAAAAATCCTCCTAATTAAATCAAAAAAGGGGGGATAGTGGAAGAATGCCATGTAAGGAAAAATATCCTGTAACTAAATTACATCTAGAAAAAAAAATTTTTTTCTTCATTTGTAATGCTAACAGCAAGACACCCATGAAAAACATATGTGGTGTCAAAATAAGCCAAAGGAAAATCATTTGGGCAAATATAAAAAGGATTCCCCGAGTAAAATTTCCTTTATTAACCTTTGGTCAAGAATACGTTTGTATATTTTCAGAAAACAACTCTAAGACCATGTGGATTCCTGCAACAAGGGATACCGGAGAGAAACTGACCAGATTGCTCCAGCCACAAAGGCAGGAGAGGCAGTTCAGAGGTGGAGATGGTGAAGACGCCTTGCCATGCTAGCAGTCAACAGCTGTGTGTTGCTGCAGGGTGCCCAGGACCAAACCAGAGAGGACCAGACCTGCATTTGTCCACCAGCCAGAACCAGCATTTCATTGCTGGCATGTACACATGAACTGTTGGACATTGAAACTTGGACTCAGAACTGTTGGACATTGATTTTGGGACTTAAACATTTTTTGTTCTTGTATGTTTATTTCTGGTCTGCAGATACAAGATTCTTAAGCAAAAAATAAGGAGGATATGTGGGAAACTGTTTATTGCCTTCACTATCTCATAAGCATAGACAGAGAACCCCCCAAAGGCTGGGTGCCTTTGAAGCCCTAGCAAAGGTCAGAGCTAGGTGCCATCTCTGTTTGTCCAGACAGTGGTAGCTGAAACTACTCTCCTATTTATTATTATGTAAATCCTTGCTTATGGGCTAGTCTGCCTGTTGCAGGGGGTCACTTGCCTAAGGGCTATGCTATGGGTGCATCCCAGAATCAATAAAAGCTTGGTGAGGCCTGAGCACGGGTGGAAGTCCTTCCTCTTGAGTTGGACTTGCCCACCTGGTCCCCCAATATTTCTAAATTATCTCTTGTCTTTTCATTTTCATTTGTGTGCGGATCTGCTTCCAGTTCCTGAACCCTGACCCACACGGGACGTGGGAAGGAAACACAACAATTGACATTTTTATGTCTTCCATTCCAATATAGATACTTTTTATTTCTTCTTGTCTAATTGCTATGGCTAGCACTTCCAGTAGTATATCAAATAGGAGTGGTGAAAGTGGGCATCACTGTCTTGTTCTTGTTCATAGGTGAAATGGTTTTAGTTTATGCCCATTGAGTATTATGTTGGCTCTAGTTTTGTTTTATAAGGCTTTTATTGTTAAGGTATCATCACTCTATTCCCATATTTTTATTTATCAAGAAAGGGTGTTAGATTTTGTCAAATGCTTTTTCTGCATCAATTGATATGACTAACTGATTTTTGTCTCTCAATATGTTTATGTGATGTATCACATTTATTGATTTGCGGATATTGTACCATCCTTGCATCCATGATTTAAATCCCACGTTGTCATGGTGTGATCTTTTTGATGTAATGCTGGATCCAATTTGTTGAGGACTTTGGCATCTATGTTCATGAGGGATATTGGCCTGTAATTCTCTTTCTTTGTATTGTCTTTATCTGGTTTTGGTATTTGTGTAATTCTGGCTTCATGGAATGAGCTTGGAAGTGTTCCTTCCTCTTGCATTTTTTGGAATAGTCTGAAGAGGATAGGTTTTAGTTCTTCTTTGAATTTTTAGTGAAACTCCCTTGTGAAGCTATCTGGCCCTGGGGGCTTTTGTTTGCTGGAAGCTTTTTGATGACCACTTCAATTTCCTACATATTTATCAACCTATTGAGATTTTTAGAGTCTTCCTGATTCAGATTTGGGAGGTTGTATTTTTCTAAGAATATGTCCATTTCCTCTAGGTTGTCTCTTTTGTTGGAATAGAGTTGTTCATAGCATTTTTTAACAATCCTTTGTATTTTTGTGGGGTCTGTTGTTATTTCACCTCTTTATTTCTGATTTTGTTTATTTGGGTCCTCTCTCTTTCCTTCCCGGTGAGCCTGGCTAGAGGTTCATCAATCTTGTTTATCTTTTCAAAGAACCAGCTCTTGATTTCATTGATTTCATTGATCTTTTGTATCGTTTTTTTGGTCTCTATATCATTTATTTCTTCTCTGATCTTTATTATCTACTTCCTTCTGTTCACTCATGGCTTTTCTTGTTGCTCTCTTTCTAATTCTTTAAGTTGTAGAGTTAGATGATTTATTACCATTTTTTTCTTGTTTTTAGAGGTAGACCTGAAGAGCAATAAACTTCCCTCTAAAAACTGCTTTCACTGCGTCCCATATATTTTGGATTGTTGTGTTTTGATTATCATTTCTTTTCAGGATGTTTCTAATTTCTTCTTTGATATCTTTGGTAACCCAAACATTGTTTAATAGCATGCTCTTCAGATTTTTTTCATTGTTTTTATTGTACTTGATTTCTAATATTATGTCATTGTGGTCTGAGAAGATGCTTGGTATGATTTCAATCTTCTTGAATTTGGAAAGACTTTGC